GAAAGAGTGATCTTCAGATTGCAGCAGAAAAATGCAATCGGTCAATGATACCTTGGTCTGGTGTAATGGGCCGGTGGTCCTGTGGTTACCAGAAAAAATGCTGGTCCTTGTCTCCACCACTTATCTGTTCCCAATTCTACCAAGTTTTTCCATGGGTGATGTCGTCTGATGGATTATTGGTAGAGTCAATATAACGCCAATTTTGATCATTAGTTCCTGAATCTCGGCAACTCTGGTGCCCACAAAAACCTTAAAGCGACAGGAGTCAGACTGTAGCCATGTCAGGACTGTGGTGAAGCAAGTCCAGAGGAAACAGGAACATATGTCTAATGTAAGCTCTCTATTGACAAGAGAAGCTAACGGAGCACCAGTGAGGACAGTACACAGTTCTAACCTTGGCATGGATAGCTGTCGCTTAGGGGCCACTCTTGATCTAGCAGTGAGAAATTACACTTCAACACCTCCCTCAGGGTTTTCTGTTCATAGATAAGCAACAGAATCATAAGCCTGTTCTGAGGGATCGCAAAACATGTGGATTTGCCGAGCACAGTTAGGAACATCCATCTGTGGACTAAGATACTGTAGCAGTGGCGTAAGTTGATCTGGGTACATGTAGGTATACATATAAATTCAATTGCAGCTATTAGTGAAGGTTGCACTAAAATGTTGCAGTGACAAAGTTACAGTGAATATTGCAATATTGCAAATTCAAAGTTCAAAATACAAATTAAGTCCAACTTTAATATTTTTTTCCGGTGTTTTTGAGACACTTAACATGCTTAGAATTTCATGAATCTCGACACACACATCAGAGTTATCGACCATTAGGCATTGGCAAATATATTGGCACTCCATAGTGCCACCTTTGACAAAATTGGAGGGTTTGTTTTTTTCGGCCAGTCACCAAACTCTGTATATGTATTGTTCTAATCAAAATCAAAATTAATTTATGATTCTCTGGGTCCAAACAGCAAATTATAAACTGTCAGACATTTCAACTGACAGATGGAGGCTGCAATTCTAAGGTTGTCTACTTGATCGTAGGTTAAGAAATCTTTTAAGCCTAATCCATTTTGTACTCAGTTTTCATCACTTTGAATGACAAATAAATATATAGAGTCAGTTAATATGTACTGTACTGGCAAGGTTGAGTTGAAGGTGATGGTCCTTCATCCAGCAAGAAATGTCTGTTAGACAAGCTGAGATGCGAGCAGCTAAGGCAGCTGAGGGAAAAACACCAGTGTGAAGGGATGTGTTAATGATGTGAGTGAGTGCAGGTACAACTGCAGGAGAAATGGCTTGAAGGAGATGAGATGGAATAGGATTAAGCGGACAAATAGTAGGATGATTAGAAAGGATGAGTTTGGAGACTTCTGCCTCAGAGAGTGAAGAGAAGGATTTAAACGGGTGTATGTTTGCTGGTAAGATGTGCTTGACGGATTGTGGTGTGGAAAATTGTGCACTGATGGTTTTCATTTTATTAATGGAGAACATGGCAAAGTCGTCAGCTGTTAGAGTTGATGAAGGAGGGGGAGGAGGAGGACATACCCATTCCCTTTCAGCAGAACCAACCGCGGAGAACATCTGACAGCCAAGGGGCAGAAGGGGTAGTATGGCCTGGCCTGGAAGACAAGGTGCAGACAGTGTCTAAACAAGATAATAAGTAAGAGTGGAGCATAAAGTATCAGTAGCACTGTTAACATCAAGAGATGATAACTTTTTAGGGGGAGGAAGCGAAGATGAAACCATAGCAGATAGCCGAGAGGGTGAGAGTGAGCATAGGTTACGTCGAAAGATGACATGTGGAGGGGTGTGGAAGTCTGCAGCCTGAGGTTTATCTAGGTTGATGTCTTTATCTAAATGCCAGTATCTTTATCTACACATGACATGTTTATCTAACATGTCTTTATCTAAATGCCATTATCTAATTTATTTTAAATATATCTAATGACAATATGTAATTTTCACTTGTAGGGTTCCACTGGGCCACCTGGTATTCCAGGTATCGATGGAATGAAGGTAAGATAACAGATATCTTCACTTCCTTTAAAATCTTATGGTTTTGAATACGCAGTAAGTTTCCTATTTTTGCCTTTAGCCACTTTTAAATTACAGGACACTGATTCTTGAGACATGGGACAAAACATGTCCAGCAATGGTAACTGCTATTAGGTTTAAAAATGAAAATATTTTCAATTGTAAATGTCATTTGGGATCAATAATAAAATGTATTTAACACCATTATCCCCTTCCATTTAAAGGGGTCATATGATGCAATTTCAAGTTTTCCTTTCTCTTTGGAGTGTTACAAGCTGTTCGT